CAAGAGACTTGTCTTGGAGGCTTTGTTTGCTGATGATTGAGCCCTCATTGCTCACACAGAGTCTGATTTCCAAGTCATTGTAGACAGGTTCACCCAAGCCTCCAGACTCTTTGGCCTTATGATCAGTTTCAACAAGACCAAAGTCCTGAACCAACCAGCTCCAGTCACTTTGGCTCCTTCACCAAGCATCAGCATTGAAGGCGTCAGTTTAATTACTTAGGGAGCATGCTCTGTTCCGATGGTTCTCTTGACCAGGAGATAATGACTCAAATCAGCAAAGCCAGCCAATCGCTTGGTCGCCTGCAATCTCATGTGATGAACCATAGGAACATCAAGCTGTCAACTAAAATCAAGGTATATGAAGCGCTTGTTCTCACGAGCCTTCTGTACGGTTGTTAAACCTGGACGCTATATCAGAAACACATCAAGCAGCTTGAACGCTTCCACATGAGATCCCTGAGGTCAATCATGAACATTAAGTGGCAGGACATAGTAATGAACCTAGAAGTTCTGGACAGGGCTGGCCTAGTCAGCACTGAGGCCATGATTCTCAAAGCACAGCTAAAATGGACAGGCCATGTCATCGGGATGGATAGCTCCCGCATCCTGCGCCAGATCCTCTATGTAGTGCTTGTGTAGGGCCGCAGAAACCTAGGGCGTCCCAAAAAACACTTCAAGGATTGTATCAAGGAGAACCAGAAGCAGTGTGGGATCTCTGCCAAGGAACTGGAGCCCTTTGTCAAGACAGGGTAGGTTGGTATGCTCTAACAAATAGGGCATTCTCTGACTTTGAAGCCAGCAGAACGTGTTGCCAGTGCCGGGGAACGCAGGAAGGTCTCAGCATCAGCTCTACCAGCAGCAGCGTCATTCCCGTGCCCACACTGCCCCCAAGTATGCGTCAGTCAAATTGGGTTAACCAGCCACATCTGGGCCCATCAAAGAAGGTTGTACAACGATTGACATCATCAAACACGATGGTCAACCAACACTATTCAATACTGCACAAAAATCAAGCTCTCTCATAGTACTTAATAACAGACTATGAGTCTAATTTAGACTACTTCAGGGAGGCTGAATAGTGCTGGTAACCTCCTACTGTAAATTAAGATTGTCATTTGTGATGTGACAAACAACCCACTCATGTATTTTCAGGTATTTATGCCCTTCTACCCCAAACATTTCACGCTTTAATACTTATTAGCACTGTAAGGTATTTCCAACAACTGTACAAAAGAAGAAACCTCATATTTTTCTTTAATCCCACTTTGGAAAATGTTATGGCCACTTTAGATGTATATTTTCAGAGCCATTTCTATATCTTTTTTATTTATATTTATTTAATAATTTTTACTTTCATGAGGTTTTCTTTTTTTGGTGCACTTCATCTTAAGGCCCTCGTTCAACCTTTGCAAACAGGTGCACTTTGATTTTGGCATGGAGGTGTTTTGTTTTGCAAACAGTGATGCTGGGAGAGACAGAATTAAAAAGGAGTAAATGGGAAGGGTTAATGTGTTCTTCCAGCTTAAAGTCCAAGTGGATGAAGCTCATGGGAGGAGTGCTACAGTACATCATTGCCTTACCTCTAACATCAGCTGCAAGCAATGAAACAACCCCAACCCTGTTTGCAGCACGCAAAGCTAGCCCGCAACAGGAAAATGCCACTGGGTTGCAGGTGATGGGAGATTCTGAAAGCAACCACAAGAAAGATTAGAGAAACAAACAGCACAGGAGTTCAGGCATACAGGACTGGCGGAGATGTTTGGGTTTACCACAAACCAAAGCAAAGGGTTTGTGCTAATATAAAATCAGCTCAGGTCATACACTGAGACAGTTCTTTGACAGCAACAAAACCACTTGATTACAGCCCCAGTCACCCAGTCACTGACCACAATTTAAAGCTTAAAGTCAAGATTTCAGTTCAGCCCACATTACAAGCTGGAGTTTTGTAGCTTTAAAGACGTTTGAGATAGATTTTACATTGCAGATGTGGCAGTTATTTTCAGGAGTTTTTCTGAGTAATTAGCTCAGCATGTCTAGACTTCCTCAGAAATTACCTGCTGTCACTCTCCCATCAAAACTTAAATGAAGTACTGCACAGCTCAGCTTGCTTAAGTTCTAGAAGGAAAAAGAACAAAACTTCTGTTACTGGGAGAGAACAGAGGAATTTCTTATGATTAGACTCCCACGTTCAGATTTATCCCCTGATTTTAAATTCCAACACACAGCAAAAGCACTGTAAAAGAATAGCTCTTCAGGTGTCCTGGCTCACATGCTCTTAATAACTCAACCTAATATTGAAATGATAAACATGCATGACTGCGAGAATGCTTGGAGAGAAACTTGTTTCTGAGAGCCATGTCGACCATGTATTTGCCCCCCCCCCCCCCTTTATAAAACTACTGCATTTGAATAGTGGAGGTTCACAGTTTTGTGAATAATTCTGTATTATTTGTTTGTAAAACAGAAGCCAGATGGGTCAGTAATACTATCAAGGAGGGTGTCATTGTTGATAACACAATTCACTGTGTGATTTATGAGATGTTTTCTTGCTTATGTAAGTTCTTAGATTTAAACAAGCACAGGTAAATCTCATGCTAATTACAACTGCGACATAACAGAAATCTAAACATAGAATTTCTGTTGTGCGATTTCAATAGCTAACCTTTGGGAACATCTTTTAGTTAACAGAGACGAAAATCTTTGATGTGGTAGATGGGGGTGGGGGGTTGAAGAAAATAATCATTCATACTTGAAAATTGTAGGAGTGAGTTTACTTTTTTATGATGTCATATCAATTAAGTGTTTTTCTTCTAGCATTATTTTATTTAATTAGAGTAAGCACTAGTTGTCAGGCCTTTAAGTTCTGAGTTATACATCCTTAACGTATTATCATCCTTACATCCTTAACGTATTATCTTGTTTGTTTTTGACTGTTTCAAGTGGAAATTTTGAGGCTTTCAAAACATTAGACATCACTTGTATTTTGCATTAGTTCAAGAAAAAAGAATAACGTATATGTTGCATTTGAAAGAAGCTGTATTGGCTTCAGGCTCCCAGTTATAGTAGTTTTAAATGCTGGCAACTCTGTCTTAGTGTGGTGACTGCTTTCTGGCTGTTCAAAGTAGAACACCTATAATAACAGTATGTATGGTTTGTTTATGCACATAAAAAAAGAAATACCTTTATTTCAACAGATCGGAACTCCATTATGGATAGCAGAACCTTTCTTTGTAGTGCTATATCTTTTGAGAGCTGAATCATCATGAAATCTTTCTAAATATCATTTATGTATATTTCATATAGTGTTTACATGGTTTTATAAGCTTTGCCTAGGTGAGTAAAATAAATGTTTGTTTCCAAGCAAAGTCATTTTTTGTTTTTCAAAGCTTGTTGTCAGCTATCACCAGGAAGTATAACACATTTAGTATTAAAGTTTCTAAGATTATATCATAAACAGGCAACAAATCTCATGAGATATCACCATTACCTTTCGCAGGTAAATTTGTATTTGTTGAGTATTCTATTTTGAAACTGACCAGAACTATTTAAAATTTAGAGAAGTTTAATAAATTAAGACATAGTTTATTTACATAGTTTATTTTTTGGTATAATGACATGCATACCTTTCACACTAGCTTGGACTTGTTTCAAAGTATAATCAGTGCTGAATGTTTTATAACAGTTGTAGACTTTTTGTATATATATAATATGATGGTGGAATACAAAGTAGTGTTTCTTATGCTGGATGGGTTTGATATAGTGTCATTCCCACTTACTGTGTGTATTGACATTACTAATTGGGTACCTTTGGAGAGCTGTTCAGACAAAATAGGCAGAAATCACTTAAAGAACTAACCAAGGAGTGAAAAGGTGGAACTCTGTTCACCAAGATTCTTTGAAAAAGCACACCCATAACAATGTTTAAAAAAAGACTTCAACTGAGGTTGAAAAGGTCTAATTTAATAAGAAGTTCCAGCAAAAAACAGAAGATACTGGAATTCCGCAAAACTAGGTTTGAAACCACAAATTTGAAGTGTGGACTTCACTTAAACTTTACTCTGTACATAAAGGTCAGTATGACATCTGTTTTGAACCTCTTCGTTGTTTAGAACACATTGCTTTCTCATGCTAGAAAGTAATTAAGAACTTGGCTGTGGTGATTGATAACCTCACACTGCCACAAGATATATTTAGTTATTTTATTTTTTCATTAACAAGACAGATGAATATGAAAATGTACTGAATATATTGAAGTTTGAAGTATCCTTAAATTAAGTTTATTTTGGTATGGTTATGGCATTTATGGCGACGCCTAAATACAGGATAATTTAAGCTTTTGTAGCCGACTATGCTACCCATTATTGAACAATTATGAAGGTGCTATGGTCCTTTTTCCCCTACAATAGGTAACCAGGTATGATGATGTTCTGTCACTGGACCAGGCAAGTCAGTCAACCTACAGTACATAATACTCTAGTTATTACTGATTGTCAATCTACCCATCACACATTGCTTTATAAAATAACATAACATAACATAACATAACATAACATAACATAACATAACATAACATAACATAACATAACATAACATAACATAACATAACATAACACAACACTTTTTTCTAACCGCCACCCAACACACAAGAACACATAAGACAAATTATTCACAAGGGATACACACTCACAAACCAGCACAAGCACCCCATGCATGGACCCCAGTTAACAAAACCCCAATGTCTCGAATGAGCAGTCCAGCAGTGTCGTTCTCCAAAGAACGATCCAGTTGGTGACATGGCACGTCTCCTTCTGCCACAATGAAGTAAACTGTCTATTTTTAGGCATATTTTCCAGTACTGGCTGTCCTGAATGATGTTGGTCCCTTACGCCCACCCCTACACTTTTTTTCTGAGTCCAGTTTATGAGTATTGGGGCAGGAAGACAATGCTGGGGCCTTCCTTCTTCCTTCTGCTGCTCTTTGTAGAGTCCCTGGTGTCAGAACCCTCTCATAAGTGCCTTCGGTACAAACTGGAATACAAATGTGTCTTCCAATTTCTTCTGTCCCTCTCTACTTACAACTGGGGTTTCTGCTGATACAACTGCTGATACATTCTCAGGGGGGTGGAAGTCTTCCTTTGATGTCTTGGGCAGTGGGCAGAGCTAACTGCTTGGGGCTCAACAGGTTGCATGAAGATGACCGGGTGTAACAACGCATTCTGTATTTGTACCCTGTTCTAGAGCCCTCTCTCTGGGGCCCAGTGAGACCTGTTTCACAATCCCACATGTCAAACTCTGAACTGTGGGATTGTGAGACAGTAATTAATGAGTGTCTGAGCAAGGAGGACGTTTGATCAATGGGAAGCTCAAAGGACAAGGAGAGAAATGTATCTATCCTTAGGGAGGCACTGGCCATTCAATGCAAATTTAAAGTAATCATAGTCCTTGACACCTGTTATTCCACACCCCAATTTTGTCTGTGAGATCTATTGTAGTTTCAAGTTAACTGGTTTGATGTATCATGTATCATTTTCTGCATTATTTGCTTTTCATATCATGACAATTACTTCATCACATGTCCTAAAAAATATTTTAATTTCTTTTGATCCTGCCTTCTATTTGCTAATTGTTAACCAACTTGGTAACTGTGCTTCCACCGGGGGGATATTGGTCACAGGTGGTCAGGCTTCAGTCTGGGCACTAAAACCTTTGGTTTGGATGACTGCCTTTACTGCTTGAGCTGCATGGGAGCACAGAATTGATCGTATCTCTTACCCACTTCATGCAGAGGACATGTTTTTGCTGTTAAATCTATCTTTGACTATTTTTTTGGTATTTCAATCTGTATAAATTATCCAAGGGCTCCTCTTTTGATTTTCCAAAGGCTAAATAAACATGTTTGGCCTTAAAGGTTGCAGAGCTTACTTCTTATTACAACTATTTAGCTGAAAGCAAGATAAATATTTTACCCACACCCAGATTAACCATAAACCTTGAAGAAGCATCTTGACTTTTGACAAAATCTGAAACAATGCTGCTTTCTCAAACAAATAAAAATACAGTTGACCTTCTTATTTCAAATATCCTGTCCTCCAAATTAATAAATTATATTTATATTTATTACAAGATAGCAGAACAGTTGGTGCTGCTGCCTCACAGCCCTTAGATTCTGGGTTGGATTCTCGATTGGGGAGCCTTCTGTGTGTAGTTTGAATCTTCTCCCACTGTTAATGTGTGTGATTCAGTTTTCTTCAACCTTTCAAAGGCTTTAGCAAGTTTCCAAACTGTCCCTATTTGCTTGTGTGCTTGTGCCCTATAAAGGACTGTAATTGCATGTTGGATGTAAAGTAGTCCCAGTTTGGTCTTATGATTCCAGGATAGACACAGGGTTGCTTCAGTCCTTAATAGAAATATATGGTTTGCTAATAACGAACAGATGAATTCATTAATGTGATATTTTGAAGAAAAAAATATTCAGAGACGTTTTATATTAAATATAAATTAAAGTATTTAAATTAAATATTGCAATCGGCAGGTTTAAAAGTAGTTTTTTTTTCCTCTGGTTCGGGGTAGGTTTTCTTAGTTATTGCCAACTTCAAGAAGAATGAAAGGAACCAGGAGCACTCAGTGATTTACATATGGAGCCAAAGGAAGCTGAAGTTCATTGTGTACCAGACCCTGGAGACCCACGGTGCCAGAGACTGGGAGGCCTTTCACATTGAAGGGGAGACCTTTCTTGCTGTGGCAAATCACATACAAGGTACTGAGTCCTGTCATTACAGCTTGTTTTCTGACAAAAGCTACTTTCACAAGCTTTTCTGACATAGGTATTCACACTGGCTCCCAAGAATGAGCTGCCATTTACCATAAGCACGTGTATCACAAACAACATAGAGAAAACAAAAAGGAAAATGTTATTTTTGCATATCCCCTGACTAGGTGGGAGCTGTCAAAGTATTGCTCAAAGATGTGAATAAAGGTCAGTACACTGCCTTTTTGGAATTCCTCTGCATTTTATTTATAAAAAGTAGAGTACAAATTTGTAGGAAATTCACATCTCATTACTATAAATTAGGATTCATAGAGTTGATTGCAGGTGTGGACAAAAGTGCAAACCATTTTATAAATATGGAAGACATTATTTTGGAAAATAATCCCAGAGTAAAAAAAAAAGTACTAGAGTAATCCCTGTATTATTGTCATCACTGTTACAAATTATAATGATCTATAGTTTGAGTCTGTGTTTAATCGTAACATATGGCAGACCAAAGATATAACATATAATCACAGAACATAAACACTATTTTACTACACATTATGTCCAAGGTATTCTCATTTAGATTACTGTTGTTTTAAGGTAGGATAATTCACACATAAAGCTTAATAATTTATTGTGATGCAATGTACATTGTGTCTAGCGTATTAAATTCGTTAAGCATATGAGTTACTTCAGAACACATTTTTTTAAGTCAGTGAATGAGTTAATATTATCTACTGCAGTTAATATGGCAGAAAACAGTGAGAAAAAGGTTATAGAAAACACAGAAAGTAGGATTTTAAAGCAATGAAGATTGAAATAGTAAACATGATATACAGTTTAGCCTGTAAAGCTTTTGTATAAGTAGATCCAACACTTGTTGCAAATGTCTACAAAAGTGCCACATAAATGCATTGCATATCAAGAAAATATAGTACAGCCTTTTTCATGTCTGTTAACGAGCCATCAACTAAGGTAAAAGCCTAACCATTATTAGTACAGTATGTGCCATTTGTGTTTAAGCTTTTATTCCTCATTTTTCCACTTCTCAGCCCCTTCCATGTGTATAGTGCTCTTCTTCTGTCTGGGGAGTTAAAAATGCATCTTTTTGTTGATCAAAGAACAAAGATGACATAAAGAGCCTTCATGGGATCTTACAGCCCAGAAGCACAGTCTGTGCACCTGCAGAGGGTTGGCACAGCGCCAGCCAAACGTAAACCTGTTCCAACAACTGCCTGCCCAGACAGCCTGGGAACCAGGAGCTGAGACTGGGGTGTGTGAGGTGTTGGGGGTGGGGTGAGGGAGGCATGTGTGTGAGAGAGAGAAGCAGACAGACTCAGAGCTGGAGGATATAAAGCAGGCTTATGAAACGATGAAAGTATTTTCAAAAGCAAGGCCTTACTTTTAAATCCAGACTGTAGCACTGAACTAATAAATCTTTAAAATAAAAACATCCAGTACATTATCAAGAGGTAAAGGCAAATGACTTTCTGCGTTTTGTTTTCAGTGGAAATATGATATCCTATTGTTTGGCTTTAACATTAAAGACAACACTAAAGAATGGCAAGGAAGCTGTAAGGACCCATAAACTTAAATTAGATCACATAAGTGACATTCTCACCCAAAATGTCTGCCTTAAATGTTCATTTAGTAGGTCTTCCTACTGGTAGAAATCTTTAAAGAAGTTATAGTGCTTTGAAAATTTACAATTTAAATTGAATATCCCTGATAATTTCAGAAAATTGGCAAGAAAGAAATGCAGACTAGTATTGGTTTTGGAAGTCATGTATTCTGTGTCCTGTGCTTTCCTGTGAATTATCTGGCAATGATACAACCCTCACCAGAATGTCAGTGCTCTCAATTCCACCTTGTGTTCTGTGCTTTCCTGTGAATTATCTGACATGATACAACTCTCACCAGAATGTACAGTTTGTGAACTCCAGCTATAGGTTTGTACTTTATCTCACTGATGGTTTACAGAAGCATTACTGTATTTACAACACTAAACTGAAGCTTAGTCTTTCAGTACAGGAAACATATTTATATTATCTATTAAAATATAGAAATATATGAAATATATATTTCCATGCTTGTTATGGAAGATTTTTAGAGATATAGGCAGAAACATTGTGATGGGGATCTCAAATCTTGTTTATGATAAACAAAACCTTAGTTTCTAAGGATCAGTTTCTGAAAGGTAGACCTTGGTTAAATGTTACTTTTGTCAGTTGTGACCATGTATGACCTAAGATGAAAGTAAAATAAAAACATCAAGAAAAAAAAAGGAAAGTTCAATTAAGTTTAAAACGTCTATTATATATAAATATATATATATACAGTATATAAAATGACATTCAAGGTGAAATCAGCCTGAAGTTTAAGAAACAAGATTTTTACTAGAAGGTTTTCTGGTGGGGTCAGAAACCAGAGCATAAGAACTTCAGGGGAAGTTTACGGGAAAGATAATCAATGCATAGAAAGGAATGTAGAGCCTTGTTGTTGAGTCAGATACCCTGGGACCTCTCAAAATTTAAGGTTGTTGTTCCTAAAGAATTCAGCAGTGTAACGTTGCATATTCTTATGTCCTTAAGATTAATATGTACATTTTATTTATATTATACACTGTATATGAATATACAGTATGTAGAGTTGGAACATCTGACAGAGTGAACAATAGTGTATTGTGAGGATAAATCTAATTAAAATGAAATTGAAATTAAAATGCCTTGTTTTCTTTTGCTTTTCTGTATGTGCAGAAATAATACTCAAGGGATTAATGAGAATTACTAGGTGTGCAAATTGAGTGAATTGTTTTACAGCTCCAGTATCCACTTTACCTTGCAGGAGACAATCACAACATACAGAGTGTCATTTATAAGTGGAACCCAGCTACCCAGCTCTTCGAAGCCAACCAGACCATCTCTACATCTGGAGCCTATGACTGGGAGTTTTTCACTGTCGGGCCTTTCTCCTTTCTGGCTGTGGCAAACACCTTCAATGGGATATCTACTCACATAGATTCGAAAATTTATGTCTGGTTTGGTGGGAAGTTTCAACATTTTCAGTCGATTACCGTGAGTTTAGAGCTTTTTATATAAGAATGATTTATTTTTAATTGATTCCTTTTCTGTATTCTCCATTTATCATACAACACAAGGTCTTTTAGAAACAGCTTGCTTCATATGTTAAACAGAGACCTGTTTATTAATCATTCATAGTAAGTGTACAATATGTTCTATAGTTAAATATAGCTATATGAAATATGGATAATATATTGGAAACGTGACTGGCATGGTGGAGCAGTATTGTACTGCTGGGTCCCGGGTTCAATTCCTGGGGTACTATCTGCATGGTATTCTCCCTGTTTTTGCATGTGTTTCCTCCACATGCTCCGGTTTTCCTCTCACAAACACAATTAACATTCCAAAGACGTGCTGGTAGGTTAACTGGCTTCTATCAAATCGTGTGAGTTTGTTTGTGTCAGTGTGTGTCTTGTGATGTTCTGGTGTACTGTCCAGGGTGTATCCCGCCTTGCTCCCAATGCTTACTGGCATAGGCACAGGGCCACTGTGACCATGTTTTGGATAACTGATAATTGGAAGTGATGTGACAATGCAATTGGCAGTATTTCTATCTTTTTACATTTGTCTTAAAACCATGTAGAAGGATAAGGCTTGACCTCTGCTGTAGGATAAGGTTAGATTATATGATTTAGATTACGTACTGTGGATTAAGTGGATTAAAGATCTCATTTGTACGATACACATTATCATAAACTATATTGTACAGTACTGTATCTATACTGTATTTTGTATGTACAATAACCTGCATAGTAACCCAAATTTCAATGTTAGGAGTCTCGGACACACACTATCCTCATTTTTATTATACTTGCAGTACATGCATATGGATCAGGTCTTGTAATGCATGATAAAAATGCCCTCTCTTTGACTTTCATTAGTCATTATACAGCAAAAGGGAAGCAAAGGGGTGCCTTCTAGCACAGTGGGCTACTGTACATCCCTGTCTAGGGTTGTACAGGTCAGTTTGGTCGTTTCTGAGATAACAGTTAGCATCTGATTTCCACCCATACAACTGCTTATTTCTGAGATTAATAACAAATTATTCATATTTTGGGACTGATTAACAATCGTTATTAGTGTGATACTAGAACACCTTAATGCTGAATGTAGTCATTTGACTCTTTTAAGGGCTATATGGGTAGATGCTTGAAGCAGTTTGCACTTATTGTCTGAAAAACCTTGGGAAAAATAGATGTTAATATTATCTCTTCAATAGAGCCTGTAAAGCAGTTGACACACAAAAATATCATCTTAACAGGCAATTGCTTAAGATTGATGCTTCAATTGACATTTTGGTACAAATCTCAAAACCTCACTTTGTTTTTAAAAGTTTGTTGAATGTAAAAACTGTTATGCAGTGTGTCCCATAGTCAGTGGAATCTTGATTCCCTAAAGGGGCCCTCTAATACCATAATTGCCACTTTCATAAAAAAACTGATTTAGAAATTGTTAGCTGTAGGCGTTCCTACAATTTCCGATCCAGGAAGAACATTTCTGTATAGTTTAAAATGCTTTGTCACCTATTTATTTTCCGAAGCTTATGGAAAAACCTCATTTGTTTTTTCTGGGGGTTTTAAGATTGAATACTGTATATAGACTCAGGTGTCCATTTGCAATTATCTATGGCAAATGGTGCTATGACATAAACAACACAGCTGAACAATTTCAACATGAGAAATGCAGTAATGTATTACTAAATAATACTTTAATACCAAATATTGACTAAATAATACATTTATACTAAAATGACACAGAATCTTATTCCCAAGAAATTTCTACCACCTTGTTTTTACACCTTTTTTCCTAATTAAAATACACTAATCATTATTAGGATATTTATTTAAAAGTCTCTAAAGGCTGTTTAAGACTTTAGATCTTCATTTTTCTTTTAAAAAAACTGACAATAGTCCTAATAAAATTAAAAGCAATTTATGAGTCAAGTTGTACAATTGACTTAAAAACTAACCAAACATATATAGAAGTATGCTAAACTCATTTAGTGTAATATTGCCCAAAAGAAATGATTAGAATTGGAAAAGAATGAACTGCTGGATTTCCAGCTTTGAAATAAAGCTTTTATACAAAAGGAAATAAAAGGAAACTAACAACAAAAAACAAAACAAAAAATCTTACAAATATAGTGATTCTCATTGTTGTTCTCAAAAGGTAGGATAAATGGTTTAGCTAATATACATTATAATACAATGGAAACAACTCAAATGCAATTTTGTTATCTGTAAAGGAATTAATTGTGAATCCTTCCTTTAAAAATAAAGCTATTCAGGAAACCGGTGCTACTATATAAGCAAAGAGAATCTGAAATCAAAATAATAAAGATACAAATTACACATTAATCTTTTCTTACTACTGCTAGAATATATTTTTCATTTGATTTTAGCACTAATAAAAAAAAAGAAGTTATGCAAACCCTGAGCAAAACCTGATTTCTACTTGACAATTTAATGAGTCAACAGTCAGACAATATCAAAACCAAATTTTCCAGTCAAGAAATGTTTAGCCCTAAGGAAAGACTTCAAGATACTGGCAGAGGCCTTCCTATTTCAAGGGAACTATCTACATAAAGTTTGTTTAGTTTATTGGTATAGAAATAAACTGAGACTGCTGATTTGTCCTAAGCATTTGAATGTAAAGCATATTCTAATAAACAAGCAGGTATCTGAGCACTGAGTATTCTCTAGGTGCTCCAATTTCCTCCCACATTACTAGCATATAATCCTGCCATCCCATGCTTATGGTATTGTTTGCTATATCCTTCACCAGAAAGTGCTTTTCTGATAATGGGAGGCTTTATATCTATAATTGTATCACTTCAGTTGTAGCAAGGTGAATCCACTGAGTTTTTGCATACTACATTTTAGTCATGAATTAACATGACATACTGTTTCTAGACATTTTCTAGAGATTAAAAGGAAATTCTAATTTTATCTTCCTTTGCCATTCATGCTTCTCTTAAGCACTGATAATGTATTAGAATTTATTAGGACTATGACAAAAACAAACATTCTGTCATATACTGTATATTTTTCCTGCAAGGATCTTTCTTTCTTCCCTTCTCTCTCTATATAAATCCTGGTGAAATATAAAATCTGGTTAATCTCTTTTTGCTTAAGTCGGTCTAGTTCAGGTCATAGCTTCTGGGTGCATCCTAGTGACCACTCTTTTTCATCTGTCTCCGTTATCCAATCTGGTGAATCTAGACGGACACAGATCACATGGAAAAGATGACTTTTTTTACTGACAAAACTAACTGCATCTATAATATTCAAATCAAGTTTGGGCGAGTCAGGTTTATCCATTCCTACATTATGTCTAGTTCGATGTCTAGCTTTGTCAGGCTCAAGACATGGGCCCTCAGACTTACTTAGATGCTCTACGATTCCAAATGAATCCCGGTGTGCTGCTGTGGGTTTTCCGGTGGTTTGAACGAAAAAGCAGAATATCAGTCTTGGTTTTAATTCTGGTTTAACAACTCTGTTAATTAGATCTCTCTCCCACTAAATGCAGTTAAAAAATATCACATTTTCCTATGTGCAGACAAACCTACCCCACCCACAAAAAAGAGAGACAGAACCTGGGCCTTATACTTAAAGAATTCAATACAAATATGGTACTAGCATTATTTCTTCTGAGAGTTAGAAATCTCAGTACAAGATGTCATCTTGAAAGAAATCACTTGTTATGATTTATTGCAATTAATTGCAATTTAATTCTGTATTTTACTCCTCTTAGCAAATATGTGTTAAATACTGTACATATAGCCCTTAACAAAGTGCCCATAACAAACACTTTGGATGATTTTGGTATGAAGACTGCTTATGAGGAGAGTTGTTCTACAATGGACCATACAAAAGTGGTTAAATTCTTACGGGGACCCATCACAACAAAGTCTTTGAGTGGCCCAGTCATAATCCTGACCTGAGTCCTACTAATCCTAATCTTACCAATCTGAAATTGCTGCCGATGGTGTTTACACCAAATAATAATAGTAGCTTAAATTTATATAGCACTTCTCTGGACACTCTACTCAAAGTGCTTTAACGCTTTAGGAAATGGGAACTCTCCTCCACCACCAATGTGCAGCATCCACCTGGATGATGCAACGGCAGCCATAGTGTGCCAGTACACTCACCACACATCAGCTATCAGTGGGGAGGAGAACAGAGTGATGAAGCCAATTCATAGTTGGGGATTTTAAGGATGCCATGATTGGTAAGTACCAATGGGAAATTTGGCCAGGACGCCGGGGTTACACCCCTACTCTTTTCGAGAAACGCCCTGGGATTTTTAATGACCACAGAGAGTCAGGACCTCGGTTTTATGTCTCATCTGAAGGACGGCGCCTGTTTTACGGTATAGTGTCCCTGTCACTATACAGGGGCATTAGGACCCACACAGACTGCAGGGTGAGCGCCCCCTGCTGGCCCCACTAACACCTCTTCCAGCAGCAACCTTATTTTTTCCCATGAGGTCTCCCATCCAGGTACTGACCAGGCTTATGGAAGGAGGAGAAAAAATGGCAGCTACCTATGTTTCACATAGCCACACAAAGCGTATCAATGCTCACCAAATGCCCTTTTCACCATAGCTGATCCTCTTTAACAATTTTGTCTACTTTACATTTAGGAATTTATTTGACCAAATCTTATTGCACTTGTAGACAACTGGCCTCACATGTGTTAGACCTGTGAATCCACTGTTAGTGAAGCACTGATCCTAACATTTCATTGCATGTTGAAATTCATAGTGTAACTGACAACTAAATTAATTTACTTACAGTATGTATTTCAGTAGCTGGTTTTACAAAAGAGATCTATACTTGATTAGAGTGAGTGTGTGTGTGTGTGAGAGAGAGAGAGAGAGAGAGAGAGAGAGAGAGAGAGAGAAATGATGGTTCAATTGTCCTTTCAAATTTCTTTAAAAATTAGGTAAGAAAACTTAACTTGTTAAATTACAATATGTACAACGGAACA